CGCCTTCCCGAGCTGCGCTAGGCTTTAGGGGAGTCGCAGCCTGCCAAGGACAAGGTCTTTTAGTGAAAGGGACGATCAGTTGAGTCTCCATAGATTAGTTATTCACGCACACGCAGGGAGGTGGGTCATTCTAGTTTCCATGTATGACCAGATATAAAGTGTATGTTGCCCTGCACATATTTTCTATATCATATGTATATATATATAAAATTTTAAAAACCCTCCAAAAATCTAAGCTAGGAAACCTCAGTTCCCCAGGAGGGCTGTCCTCTCACCCCTGTCCAAGGACCAGGAGAGGGGAATCAGATTGAGTCTATGGAAACATTGGCGTTACCCTCCCTCGCCCTCCCTCCGCCTACCGCTCAGCGGGCTCAGTCAGCGCCCTGAGTGCCTTCCTCAGTCCCGCTCCGCCCCAGGGCTCCTATGCTCAGTTCTCCCAGGCTCTCTGCAGGATCTGTGCTGTGTGTTGGCTTTCCCGGGTGGAGGCAATCCTCAGCCAGGCGCTGCTCTGCTGGAGCACCTCCCGCCGCCGCCGCCTCGGAGCCGTCCCGAGATGGGTCCTTCAAAGGCTCCAGGAGGTCGGTGTCTGGCCGGGGCGCGTGGGCACACAGGTCCTGCACCTTCTTGTTGAGGTCGTTGCGCTCCGTTTGCAGAGCTCGGCACAGTTTCTCCAAGCGCTGGATTTTCACCTGAAGCCCCTCTAACTCTTTGTCTCGAAGGGTTTTCTGCAAATAGAGAAACAGTTTAGACTCCACCACCCTGAGGACAGAGAGGCAGAAAGGGAGTTGAAACCTCAGATGGAAGTTCAAAGGGAAAATACTTGTGACCAAGCAAACACTGGGCACTCAAAGGACCTGATGCCATCACCGCTTCTTTCTTCCTTTACCCTCACAGAGGCCAAGAGCCACTGAGACTGTCTGACTCCTTCCACACACCTCTGCACTCATCAACCAGGACCTCTGTGAGAGGCTCCTACCACCATGTCCAGGGAAGGAAATCAAGCTAAAGGGAAAAACACAACCCCTCCACCCAGCACGCCTGCACCGAGACAGGAGCTGTCCCTGTCTCCTGCTGTCCCTCAGCTCCAGCCTAAGGCCACCCAGGCTGCTCCAGCTCCCTGCCTCCGCGTGGAACACCCAGAGCCTCCTCACCTCCTCAGCCATTTCCAGAAGAGCCTTGTTGCTGCTCTCCCAGCGAGAGCGGTACATAGTGGTCTCTTTCTCCAGCTTCTTGATTTTCTTCGTCATCTACAGAATCACAGTGACAAAAAAAAGGGAACAAATAAGGCACAGACAGCGCTGTGGTTACACCTCACGGGTCCTCAAATGGGCACCCACTTCCCAGCGCAGACAGCGAGGTTCTGCTGTCCCGGGAAACGTCTCCTGCCGCTGCCGTCAGCTTCACCAGAGAGAAACACCGACCAGGTAACAACAAACCAGGAGAGAGGGGCAGCACTGCTGGTTCTGACACAGAAGTCACCACCCAGGGACAGTATCAACCTTACACGAGCAGCCAGCTCGTGTCTGACTTTAATACCAGCAAAACTAAACAAAACAACTGAGCTGCAGCTTTTCCAGGTCGCAGAAGCACCAAGGAGAGACACCAGACAGCGCCTCCAGCCCACGCAAGCTCTGACGGCAGCCAGAGCGTTACCCACCTTCTCCATCTCCTGTTTAAATGTCGTGAACACTTCACTGCTTTTAGAAAGGGTGTTCTGGAATTCTTCAAACTTCTCCGTATAGAGAGCCAGCTGTGGGGAGAGACAGGGTTACAGCTCCTCACTGCTCACCCAGCACCTCCTGACAGCCTCCCCCAGGAAAGGGGAGATGTCAGACCAAAACTGAGCTCATGAGCTTGTGACTGGACTTTCTGGCAAACAAACTGGCAGCACAGAGCTGCTCTGCCAACATGAGGTACTGGGGAATGTGGAAAAATTCTTTGCTAAGGGAACATTCTTTTGTTAGGGAAACATCCTCAGAGCCTGATGTGTTCTGCAAACATCTCATGGCCTTGGCAGGAGGCACTGGCTGGGTCTGATTCAGCAAGGTATGACCACACCACTGCCCTCAGCACTGGGAAATGTGCTGGTAAAAACCAAGGTCCCTTCCTCCCAGAAGGCAGAATTGCTGAAGGAAGACTCAGCTCACACTGTGCTGACACAGGCCCATCCACACCAAACTCCGAGCAATCCTGCCCTTGTGTTTTCCAGATTAAAGAACTCCAGGTTGTTCCCTGCTTAGGGAGGAAAGAAAAAACCCAACCAACCAGGCTGAGCACACAGACTGGCTCACTCACCTGCTGCTTGAGATGGGTCTCCTGCTGCTTCATCAGCTCACACATCCTCTGTGATTCCACAGCTTCCTTCAGCAGCTAGGGAAGAGCAATACCAGTTACCTGGTGCCACCAGGGAAGGCTCTCAACATGTCCCCACATGGCTGGCACTTGGCCTGGAGCTGGGAGTGGGCTGGGAGAAACACAAAGAGCAGAGCAGAGCTCCAGCCTCGCTCCCGATGCTGCTGGGGTAGTGGTCCCTGCTGGGCACACAGCTGGCCTGGGAGGCCCTGACCTGAGTTGGGATCTGCACTCAGGAACCCAACCTAAGAATCTTCCACAGAGAGACGAGACAAAAAGCAGAGTGTTGGTACCCATTAGAGAACAGCTCTGAGACTTACAAAGTCCTTCTCCCGCTGGTGTCTCTCCTCTGCCTCCTTCAGCATCTCCTGTGCCTGCTGGAGCTTGGCGTCCACCAGCTGCTGCTGCAGGTCCTTGTGTTTGAACACCTTGTCAATGTGCTGCCGAGGGAAACACCACCAGTCACCGACACACTCAGCCAGGTCCTTGCAGCCCAGGCAGTGATCCCAAGGGAAGATCCCAGAGCTCAGAGGCCCCTTTTGCCCTCCAGCAGCAGAAACCCACTTCACTGGGCAGAAGGGACATAGCAGAGCAGCCCTACGCCAGGTCCCCCGCCCTGACCCACCTCCTCCCGCAGCTCGTACTGCTCGATGAGCTTCTTGAGCCGCTCTGCCAGCTCCATGTTCTCCTGGCGCAGCTTGGAATTCCTCTCGTTGTGCTGCTCCATCTGGAGCTGGATGTCATTCAGCGTCACCTGGAAGTGGGATGTCACCTCCTTCCGCTTCTCCTCTTCCTCCCGCGCACGCTGGACACCCTCCTCCTGCATGAGGAGGGCAGAGACAGCAGGGACGTGTCAGCCTCTGTGCTGGGCAGGCAGGTGAGCAAACAGCCCAAACCACGATGCTCTGAACCCACCCAGCCTCCTACTACAGCTTCCAGCAATCGGGATGGGACTCTGGGCCCTTCCCCTCCCCTTCTCCAGTGAACAGACCCTGAAATAACACTCAGGCACAGCAGATACTGATGGCTTAACAGCAAAATTAAAGCACTGCCCCGGATGGTGGACTGTGGACAATCACTGGTCAAGGTAAGTTTGCCAGAAGGGCTCACAGCCCCACAGCCAGTGATCCCAGCGCTCGGGGATGAAGCAGCTCTTGGAGAAGAGCCCAGGAGACACTTGCCTTGAGGGTGCGGTTGTGTCTCTGGAGCTCACGGCACAGGCTCTCCAGCTTGCTGCGGGCCAGGATGGCCTTGCTGTGCTCGCTCTGCAGGTGGTCCTTCTCTTGCACCAGCTGCGTTTGTTTCTTCTGCAAGATTTTCATCTGTTTCTGGGAGTTACGGTGCTCCTCCAGCTAGGACAGGGGAGCAAAGGGCACAGGTGAAGCAAGACAGAGCAGGGCAATGTGCTGAGCCCCTAGGAGAAGACACAGGGATCAAAACAACGCTCTCTGTGCTCTGAGAGGAGGAGGAGGAGAGCTTTATAGCACCAAAGATGCCACTTTTGAGCAGGGCAGGTCTGACACAGAGCCCAAAGTCCCCAGGACAGGGCCTTTCTCCTTCCTCAATTCGTGTCCTGCTGGAATTGGAAAGACTTGCACGTTCATCCAGCACCTCCACGCACATCCCCCAAACAGAGCAGAGCTCTGAGCACAGGGAAAACCTGCAGATGTCCACTTGGGACGTGCACAGACAGCCCCACAGCTCTCCCCTGCACTGTGTCCATCCACAGAACTACATCTGTGCCCACAGCTCCTGGCTCTGGTTACGTGTGCCACCAGCCTCTGTGTGTGTTGTCTGGCTGAGTGTGCACAGGCAGCAGCGCGGTGACTCTGCCAAACACACGTTTCTTGCAGGGAATTATCAACAGAAACGAGCCACGGAGCGGTGCAGACAGGAGATGTATCTGCCCTGTCCTCTGCCACGGCTGGGCCTGCCAGCTCACAGCTCAGCCCTGGGGACACGCAGGCCCAGCACAGACCTGGCCACGGAACACTCCTGGGACAGGATGGGTTAAGAGATGCAGCTTCCATGTTAGAGGAGCAGAGAAAAAAACAGATCTGAAGTCCTTTTACACGCAGATTTGCCAAAAATCCTCCTGTCCACGCTTACACTTCTGCAAACAACACCACCTGGCTGGACCAAGCAACTTTTATCCTCTAATATTTGTAAATCCAGAGCTGCAGAGATCCCAGAACATACACTGCAAAGCTACATGCGTGTTCTTGGACTGTCCCTCTCAACATAAAGAAAATCTACAGCCATCTTCTGCCTCGTGAAGCAGCTCCTGAGCTCAGTGCTGCAGTGTCCTCCCCCAGCCCCAGAGCCTGGAACCAAGAAACAAGCTCTCACCAGCTCAGCGTATTTCTTGCACAGCGCTGCTAGTTTCTCCTCTGGCGTGCTCAGGGTGTTCAGTGTCTGCATCAGCAAAGTGATTTCTTTGCCTGGAATGAGACATAGAATTTAAAATAAATAAATAATAAACTAAAATAACATCAATGACATAGGAGTTCTGTCTCATAAAGGCAAAGACAGGAGAGACAAACCAGGTCTCACAGCCAGAGCCAACATCTCCAGCGCCTTCTCAGGGCACTGCCCCACCGATGTCACCGCACGCGGTGGGTGAACAACTGCAGCAGCTGGGAGAGACCTGGTTTTGGGAGTGAGAAACCACCACTGGGCTGGCTGAGGGCATTGAGTCCAGCAGAAGGGAAATCCTCAGAGTTCAGAGGCTGCAGCAGCACCCAGTGCCTCTGGAGCACTCGGTACATTTCCCCACATACCACAGAACACAAGGCTGCGTCGTTCCCAAACGCCGCTGCACGTCACACACCCAAAGTGCTTATTTCATTGAGGGCAACCAGTGGAAAATCAACGTCTGCACCAAAGTTCTCGGGCTGGTGGCACAACCAGAGCAGGGAGCCTCTTACCTAGGCCCTTGGCTTTCTTCTTTTCCTGAGCCTTCTTCTGATCCCGCTCCCCACACTCCTCGCCGGGTCGAAACTCTTCGGTCCCCTTGGTGTTTTCCTTCTCCCCGTTCATCTCGGGGCCGCCCGTCTCCTGCTCACCGTTCCTCGGGGACTCGCTACGACACTTCTCAGCCTCTTCCTGCTCCGCGGGCTCGCTCTGCCCAGCGTCCTCGCCTGGACCTTCCTGGCTGGCATCCACGCAGTACGTGTTCAAGATGTCCTCAAGCTGCCTGCTCAGCTCTTCGGAGACGTCACGCACAGCAGGCCGGGAGGACTTGGTGTCCTCCTGTGCGAGAGGAGCTGCGGGAGGTGGGAACACAAAAGCGTGAGACGCCCCCACACCGTCTATTCTCCGGTCTCTATAAGCACACGGCCAAGGGGAGGTTTCCTGAGCACCCCACTGCACCAAGGCTGCTTCAACTTCCAGCAACACAAGCTGCTTTGTTCTGGCTGCGTCTCCAGCCAGCTGCCCTGACAATGGAGGTGCCTCCCCAACAGCCTCTCTTTTGATCACAAGAGCATGACCAAGCCCCTGACATCTGTCCCCCCCCCCCGCCCTCTCCTCACCATCCTTTAATGAAAGCAGGTTGTGCCTGAGCTTTCCCTCAGAGGAACTGCCTGCTAACACCCCCAGAGCCAGGCTCTTCTACATGACAATAGATTTTCAGACCTGAGTTAGCCCCTCTCCTCACACAGAAGAGCAGCTGTATCATCTCAGATCAAGAGTATCTTGTCCCCAACAGAGGACACGTGGGGACAGAGCAGGCAACGCAGCCTTCAGCACACTTCTTTACTTCCAGAGTTCCTCCAGATGAGGAACTTGAACAGCAGTTGGTTATTAAATTAACTCTACTGGTTGTGTGCTTCCTACATCCCATGTTTACCAGGCACCACAATCCAAGGCAGGGTTAATTTTAAGCAAGCACCTGCTCGAAGAGACCCAGTTCTCATCTTCCAGAGAATAATTTTTATAAGGGCAGTTAATGACAGAACAAGGGGAAATGGCTTTAAACTGGAAGAGGGGAGATGAGATGTGAGGAAGAAATTCTTTGGTGTGAGGGTGGTGAGACACTGGAACAGGTTGGCCAGAGAAGCTGTGGCTGCTCCTCCCTGGAAGTGTTCAAGGCCAGGCTGGATGAGGCTTTGA